AAAAGCAGCAAAGAAAAACGGCTTCTGGCACCCACTTCCCATAAAGAAATATATAACAACAAAAAGACCACTGAAAATGGACTTTTGTCTGTCGTTTTGTGGCATGCCACCTGTCCCTCTGTCTTATCGATTAAACAATTTCGCTGGCACCTTTGACGCCCACCTTAAGACCCCGTCACAACATAAAAACATAGAGCCGCCACGAATACGAAGATACTGAGGAATAATACAACAAAAAATGCGACTAAAAACGAAAACCATAAACGAAAATCAATTTTTAACCCAAATTGTGACGTTGACCCAGAAACCATCGAAAAATGGTAAATCCTAAAGACAAGACAAAGTGAGGCATAAACGTTGCAATTATCATAATTAATGCAAATGCGACTCAAAGTAGACCGAAAGAAAAACGAATTAAATACTTGAAGACGTTTATGAAAGAAACGTTTATTTTTAAATAAGGGAGAAAAACAGTTTTAGATGATGCAAGTCTATTAAAGGGAAGTAAATTGCTCGGAAAGGTAAGAGAAGGAGAGCCTAGTCATAGTCTTATTGGATTTAATGGAGTGAAGTATTAAATAAATTTGGGTATTTTCTTTTAAAGCTGGATTTGTAAACTATACACATTGAGTCAAGTTTATTGCTTTGATTTGTCTTTAATAAAATGGTAAAAACAAGAAATTAAATATAGAATCATTAATTACTAAACACAAAAGAGTTATAATAACTTTATAGTCACAACGAGATTTTTTTAATAGGAATTAAACAATATTTGAAGGAAGTGTTATGTGGAGCAAATTGTTGTTTCTATTGCAAAATAAATGGCTTATTATTTAGTTATAGACTCGTACCGAAAATCTATCATAAATAAGCTTAAATTATTTGCATTATTTCAATCGATATTTTTAAATGACAATTTTTCAACAAATCTAAACTTAAAAATCTCATAACTAAGTCAAAAATGCCTTAATTTCAATTCGAAAAGCTTTCCTATGTTAGTTTTTACAAAGTTAATAAATCTGCTTACTTAATTTGAAATTTCAAGAAATTAAAATTTTTGTCAATTTTTTTGACAATTTGAAATGACAAAATTTGGAGAAAATAAATATTAAAAAAAATTTCTGCCGGATATAGCTAGATCGACGCAGTTTTTTGTGCTGATCAAGAATATATATGGTTTATAGGGTCGGAAATGACTCCTTCGATGTGTTTTAAGCTTCAGACTGAAATTATAATGCTATGAAAGGGTATAAATATTATAGATTTAAAATAATAGCATTTAATTTATTGCCTTGCCTTTTCTTCTGCCAACTTTAGCTTCATTTGTATTCCCTTCGATTCTATTTATGCATTCTATTAGCCAAAGACACCTGGCATATAGTTTTTCTTTATTTGTTTATGCCACGATGCCTTGTAGGTGGCAGTTTCCAGTCGACGCCTTCATCAATGTGGCAAAGAAACAATGATTTATATACAAATATACTATGTAGGTATGGTAAAAAAAAGACGGCAAAGATATTCAATTTGGGAGATTACCAAATCCTAAACAGTTTGCTTGGGCAACTCTCAAGTGATGTCGTCATTCCCAGAGAGAGATATGTACATATACTCCACTTGTGCATGTATTAACCCAAAAAGAAAAACAGATTTCTTGCAAGTCTCTCTGACAATTGAACAAATTGCAATTGTGGCATTGTCTTGGGTTTGCCTACAGTTATAATTGCATAAGTGCGACGATGCAAATCCAGGCAGATTTTAATCAAACCCTCTGACAGTCCGCTGGGAAAAGATGGAAAAGAGATCAAGATCGGGAGAGAGAGAGAGAGGAAAAGAAAAACCTTATGTAAGATTTTTCCAATTCTTTTCTTCCGGGTGTACAGACTGACCTCGGCTTAATTAAACCAACGGAGCATTGAGGAAAAATTTGTTGGAGGAGGGGTGGAAAATTTAGGGCAAACGAGAAGTGAAAGAAAGGAATTAAATTAGAAAATCGTATTTGGTGCAGTGAAAATCTTTTTGGATACGCTCAACACTTTTCTGGGCATCGGTCCAAGGTGAGATGTGGAAAGTTTTCACCTGTCCCTAAATTCAGTTCAGAGAAATTGGGTTTTAAAAACAAGTGAAAGGTTTTTAAATTAAATATATATTTTTAAGGGGTTTTCAAGAATTTTGAAAGGAATAATTATACGGGGTATTCATTTTAATTTTCTATGGAATAAAAGTAAATAACAAGAAGGTAAATATTACGAACACAGAATTTTTTAGATATAATTTTGGTTGAAATTTAAATAATATAGCTTATGTTAAATACTATATCCTCATTATTTATTAAATACTTTTCTTTTGTAATCATATATATTTTGTTTATAAACTTTGCTCTTGTTTTAATAATGATAATAATTAAATAATAACTATAATAAACTGGAATATTTTGTAAGAAATAATAATACCTTTCAATAGTTTTATTAAATAAATTACTAACAATTTCAATCTAACACTTCAATCTTAATGTTTTTGTTATAATTAAAACCCTAATTAAAACCCCTTTATATAGACAAAGTTTCCAGTTAATAACCCATCTCCTTTTGGCCATAAAACCTTTTGTTTTTCTCCCTGTTTTTCCCCTTGTTTTTCTCCCTGTTTTTCCTCCTGTTTTTCCATCTTAGACCTCATTTCGTATGCAGCGCCAAGTTTCACACAACAATCAAGCCAAAATGCGAGGCACTTCTTATGACTTGTAATGATCTTTTGGCCCAAACGACCCTTCTCTCCCCTCTTTTCCTTCCCCCTCACCTGTTACCTGTTTCCTTTTGGCACAAATTCCACACTTCCGTTTCCCTTTTGGCCTGTTGCATAAAAGAACAATAGCAACCAGAGAGTCGTTTTAAAAATTGATTCGTACGTGAGATTTTTTCGCAAAAAATACAATTTTCACTCTGTCATATGTTTTTTTTTCTGTTTTATTTTTTCCTGTACACTTTTCCACCTTTCATTTTTTTATTGTTTGTGTGGATACTTTTACCAGGTTTTCATATTCCCTTATTTGTTTATTTTCTGCAATTATGCAGATAGACAGACAGACATATGTATCCCTGTTATTTGCTTTGTTCCGGAAATCTCTAGCTTTAAGTTGGCAGGAAAGAAAGGTGATGTCTTTTGCATATTAATGAAAACATTTGTAATTTCATATGGATTGCATATTTATGATGAATATTGATTTACATTAATGGTGAATATATTTATATACTAATTTAAAGTATTGAAAAAGAAAAAATTTCAAAGTATAAGGCGAGGATTTTAAATAAACAATATTAATGATATGTTTTCATTGTTTTGAAATATTAATAATAGAAGAAAATGTTGCAAATTTAATTGATATAATTCATAAATAAATAATCTCTTTTAAATGAACCTAAATATATTTTTTTACCAGCTTTAGTATCTTAAAAAAGTAAAAAACTATTTCAAATGAAACCTAAATAGCATATAAATCATAAAATAAAAACATTAGTAGTCCTCTCTGGAATTTATAAATATTTTTTACACCTTAAAGTTACTTTAAAATATGTAAAATATCCTTAGAAAATAAATAAAACATCTAATTCAATATAGGGACTTAATAAAATATAGCAAGTTGTCTGTGATAAGCGTGTAAATATTTTTTACAACTTGTATTTGTGTTAAACAAATTTATTAGATTTAATTTCAACTCTTTGAAGAGTCTATTTCAAACTATTTATTTTTTTTACAACTTATTTTTGCAGTTAAAATATGCAAAATATTTCAAAAAAAGAAAAGAAAATATAAATAAATCATAGAATAAAAATGCTTTTGGCGTCACTCTTAAACTTTTACATTATTTTTAACAACTTTTCATTGCTCAAAAACATGCAAAATATTGTTTCAAATATCCTAAACAATAAGGTTTATTTTATTTAATTTTTAAGCTTGTAAAATACCTACTAAAAATTCTTTTTGATAGCCCCAAACATAGTCAATCGCTTTGATCTTCACCTCGCATTTTTTGCAGATGTTTCCCATACACGAAAATGTATAATAAAAAGAAAAATCTCCTCCATCAGACACTTGCCCCGCGGGAAATCTAATTGACGGTAATTCCAAGGGAGGCCATTTCAAGTGAATTTCAATGACCTTGAGGCGCCAATGCACTCCTCTTCTCCCACCCAAATTGGCCATGTTACTGAAATGCTTTTGCTTTTTTTCCCCTATTTTTTTCGCTTTATATAACAGCGAATGGAGCACAATCCGATTGGATCCACCGATTGCAACCCACACAAGGCTTTGAATTTCACCTGCCAGGTAGCCAACACGATCAACAAAAAAAAAAGAAGAAGGTGACTGCCATGGCGATTGAGGGAAAGAAAGAAAACAACAAACAACAAACAAACTACACAAAAATATAAAACACGTTTTACATCGCTGCGAACCGATGAGCCAAAGTGAAAAGTCACAAAGTCACTTTTCCAGGGAATCATTTTCTTTCCCAATGAATACATTTCATTTCGCAAAATGAAATCACAAAAAAATGAAACATTTTTGGAATTTCAAAGCTCACTTAAAAACACACATGAAAGTTGGGAAATAATTTTATTTGTGAGCTTGCGAATTCGGTTCAAGTGCAGATTATGCCCCCATCCTCAGCTTCATCAGCAATTTCTTTGATGAATTATTTTCAGACATTGACAGTTTGTACATTTTTTTTAAAGCTATTTTTTTAGCTTAATCATGCAAAGGGAGATTTATTTTTTAAGCTTTTTGTTTGCTAAGGAAATTATGCAAGACAAATGTGTAATAATATAAAGTAATAAATAATTTAAAGGAACTAATTCAAATTAATTGAAAAACTTTACTGAATTGTAAATATCTTTGAGATTTGACTTGTAAAAGCTTTAATTCATTTTATTTTGTTTAGTTTAAAAATACTTTACTTTATTGTACTTAATTTTATTTAATTTTCTTGTAGATTTACTTACCCTATAGTCGTAATCATGGCGATTCTCCAAGCTTATATCGCTGTACATGTCTTCGGTTGTATCACAGTTGGAGCTACGGCCCGATGAGTTGAAGCTCGATGATCTATAGAGTTGGCTATAATAAAAATATGTAAATATAAATATATACAACATATAAATATATAAAACAAATAAAAATAAAATTTGATTTGTCGAAAAATTTATTTTTTTTTTAAATATTAACAAGAATCCATTGAATTTATTTTGGTTTTCGGAGTGAATTTATCTATAAAATACTTCTGCATTACAAAATGCTATAATTAAATAAGACAATGAATAATAAAATAATACAATAAATACAGAAGAGACATCAAATTTCTAATTAAAACAAGAGTATTATTATTTGGACTTCGGAATGTCTGTTCCCATTTATTTTTTTATAGCAAAAATAGGGTATTGCATCTCAGTCTGAAGCTTAAAACACATCGAAGGAGTCATTTCCGACCCTATAAACCATATATATTCTTGATCAGCACAAAAAACTGCGTCGATCTAGTTTACTCCGGACGAAACAAATTTTTTCAAAATTTTACATCACTAAATTGTCATTAAAACTGCCAATAATTGATCAAAAAAATTAAATTTTTTAAAATGTTAAATTTAGTAAGCAGATTTTTTAACCTAATAAGAACTAGCATAAAACAGCTTTCCGATTTAAAATTAAAGAACTTTTGACCAAGTTATGTTTTTTAAAACTTTAATTTATCAAAATTTGTATATTTTATTTCTCTTTTTTATCAAAGATAGATGGCGCTGTGTAAATTTTACACGATACATCTACATATTATACATGTAAAAAATTTTCTTTTGTGGTGCCACCTATGTTATCCAGATTGTATTTTTGCTTTTAAACTTTCATATAAGTTGTAACTACTAGCAAAGATTTGAACCAGTGGCACGATGAATCTAAAACTGTCAGCTGTATTCAGTTTTAGCTGATATCTTTACCAATAGATAGATGATTCTAAAACTGTAAGAGTAGCTAACAATTTTAACAATAAATCTTAAACTGGCATACATTTTTTATCTTAGGATTTTTTAAAGTCTAAAACCATTTTTTGCTTTTTAATTTAAACATAAATACAAAAATAAAAGTTAATATTTGTTAAATTTAAATTGAAATTATTTTCAGTATTGAACTGTTCAAGTAAAATGTTTTTTTTTTTCATTAAAACAAAATTTATTATAAAATATACAGAACAAATTTTGTCTTTGATTGTAAATAATTAGTAAAGTGATTTTATATCTCATAGTTATTTAGTGTTATAATCACGAATCCTTGACCAATTTTAATTTAAATTGAATAAAATATAAACGTATACCGTTTTTTCTAAATATTTCAATTTTTTAACATATATTTCTAATAATAATTAAATGTTTTATTGAAACTTACCTGGCTAAGGCATTTGAACTAATTTGTCTGCGGCCGGAACTGAAAAATACAAATTAAACAGAAAATAAGTAAATAATATAGCCATAATTTAAGGTAACCACAAAAACCAAAAAGACTACTTAAATGCAACAATGCAACCTTAAACTTTTAATCCAAAACACCCAAAAATACAACCTACACAAAAGGAAATTCTAGCCCACAAATTAGCTGACATTGGAAAACCCACAAAAAGAGGAAAAAACTACCAATAAATAAAAAAGGCAACTGCGAAAAAATAAAGAGACTTGAAAAACAACTTGACGCAGTCGGCAGCCGTCAAAACCCAAAGAAAAGAAACCCAAACACGTGATAATGAAAGAAACAACACTGCCAATAATGGCAGCCAAACCACCCACGCGAGCAGGTAAAAAATAAAAACAACAAAAACAAACTAAATAAATAAATACAGAAAAGAAAAAGGCAAAGGGGGAAAATAGGAAAATAGGAAAAGCCAAACTGCAGCCAAGACAAAATAATTGCGAAAGATGCATGTAGACGCAGACAGATAAAAAGACACGGCAAATATAGAGACAAAAACGTAGACGACTAAATTTCAAAGTGGAAACTCAATGGACGAGGAAAATGTGTGTGTGTGTGTGTGTGTGCAGGAGGAAAATGCTGTTTGTCTAACTGAGAAAAATGGGTCAAAGGTGGGAGACATTTTGCAACAAATGAAGGGGAAAGGAAAAGGGAAATGGAAATGGAAAATAGTGAATGTTGAAATGCAAAGGAAAGTGCCGGAAAAGTGTCTTTATTTATACATTTTAGATGAAAGGTATTTTGTGGAAAATATAGAAATGTTTAAGGGATATTAGGGAAAATTTTGTAAGAGAGATTTCAGTAGAAACAAAATGGTGAAGATTATTTTTAAGGGTTTTGTATTTATCTATTCAGAGACCTATGAAATAAATAATTATACATCATTTATTTACTTGTTTAAATCTTGAATTAAAAATATAAGAAAAAATGAAAAAATTACTTATTTAAATGTAAACAACATTGTGAAAATAATAACATATTTATTTCCCCATTATTCTCTCAAAGAGCAATATTATTTTATAGTTTAAATGTAAACTATTACACAATAATATTATTTATTCCTATATCAAATAATTTAAACAGTTTAAAAAACTACTAGAAAATTTCCTTTTTTATCTCAAAATTATAATCTTCAACTATTTCTCCTAGAAAACCATTAAAACCACTATGAATACAAACTATTATTAACATTATTCTCAAACATTTATTTATGTTTTGTTCTCTTTAAAGCTCAGAAAGCATTTTGCGGTTTATATTCGAGGTAATCTCACCTCACATGTCTCTCACATGGAAAATGCGTGGCGTAAATATGAAAAACCGCAAATGGTTCCGTTTTTTCCCCCCCTCAAATTGAAAACAAGAATTGTAGCAAAATTTCGCACAAAACCAGAAAAGTTTGCAAACAAAACGTTAGCTATTCCACTTTTTTGTTTAGTTATGAACTCATTAACCTAGTTTTGTGGTTTAGTTTGAGCTTAAAAAACAAAAGGCATTCCATGAAAATCTGTCTCATCATAATACCACTTTAGTTTTATGTTTTTAGTTAATCCTGTGTGTAAAAAACATCATAAAAATTGGCATTGCGTGCTCGTAAAAAATGGAAAAAGTACAAAAAAATATCTAAAAACAAGCTGGCAAATTATTGCAAATTGACCAAAGCCAAATAGTGTTGAGGGGAACCTGCTGCAGCAACTAAAAAAAAAAAACAAGGAAAATGTTGCGCAATTTTTGCAGAAGTAAAAAATGCAAAAAAAAATAAAAAATATATATATATATTTGCGGTTAGTTGCTGCTTTTATGAGTCAGTGGTCGGTCGTCTGGCATTTTATTGATGCAAAGTGAAGTTGACATTAAAATGGAGACCAAAAGTTGAGACTTTAAATTGGTTTGAAGGCAAAAAACCAGTATAAGGAGTTGAATATATATTTATATATATATAAGGAGGATATATATATATATATATTTAGAATTAGCTATGACTTATAAGCTTTAATAAATAAATAAAGAGAATGCTGCCTTAGTAATTAGTAAGCAGGTAAATTACTTTTAGAAATCCATGAAAAACTAGTTCAGAGTCAAGGAAAACCTCTTAAAGATCTAAAAATTACCTTCTCTTAACCAAATAAAATAAAGTAAAATATTTTCACTATCTACCAATACAGTTTTATATTCAATTTATAATTTTTAAGTATTTTTAAACCATATCTGTTAACTACAACTTTATTTAATATTAAATTTCAGTTCAGAGTCAAGGCAAACATCTTAAAAGCCTACAAATAAAGTTCTCTTAAAAAAATAAAATAAAATAAAATAAAAAATTATTTTGACTAACTTTCAAGGTAAATTATAAATTTAATTGTTAATTTAATAATATTTTTGGGTAATATTTCCCAACTCAAAATTGATTTAATATCATTTTTGAGTTCAGAGTCCGGGAAACCCTTTTAAAGGTGTAAAAATTAAGATATATTAACAACATAAAATATATTTAAATATTTTGACTAACTTTCAAGACAATATTATAGTTTTAAAATATTTTTTAATCATTTCTCCCAAATAAAAATTACTTTAATGTCGAATTTGGGTTCAGAGTCCGGGAAAACCTTTCAAAGGTAAAAAATTGAGCTATCTAAACAAGTTTTTAAGTTGACTAAGTTTCAAGAAAAAATTTATATTTAATTTGTAATTTAAACATATTTTTGAATAATTTTTCCCAAATAAAACTTAATTTAATATCGAATTTGGGTTCAAAGTCCGGGAAAATCCTTTCAAAGGTAAATCAAGTTATCTAAACAAAATAAAATAAAAGAAAATCTTTTGACTAATTTTCAAGACAAATTTATATTTAATTTGTAATTTAAATATATTTTTAAATAATTTGTCCCAAATAAAACTTGATTTAATATCAAATTTCAACTCTAAGCTTGCATCACCATTGCAAATATTATAACTACAAGCTATTTTGTTGATTACTTTTTTAGCTAAGCAATAAATAGACATTAAACAAAATAAAAGAAGAAACAGAAAAATAAAATAACGAATCAAAAAAATTACAGTTAATTGTACACACACAGAAAAAAATGATCAAGGTAATGGCATGTAATTTCTATGGCAACCCAAAAAAATTGTTTAAAAAAACTGTTTAAATATGATTAAGGTCGTTGGCAGCATTAAGAGGAGTGTCCCAAAAGGGGAGGGTATATATACATATAGTATATATATATATATACATATACATATGATATCTATATATATTTGGGAGTGGAGACTCATTTACTGAATTTGATTCAGTTTTTCCACATATTTGGGTAACCTTGAATTTCGTACAGAGGGAGTTGCTTTATAATTTCAATGAAATATGAAACCGGAAATCATGATCTGCGGTTTTTCTACACATTTTTTTACTTGTTACTCTTTCAAAGAAGCTTTAAAATTTCCCTAAAAAATATCTAAAAAACAATAAATCAACAGATTTTTAAGCTGCATACATTAAAAACTAAAGATAAGGTTAAAAACCTGTCAAAGCATTTTAACAAAAAGCACCTGTTGAATAACAAAAACTCTGTTCATTCTTCCACCTTCTTTTCTGTTTTTTTTTTAGCCCCACAATTACTATCCCTCTGTCATCTCCCCTGCTTTATTCTATTCCCTTTCGCATTGCGTTCCGCTTCGTTAGCCCCTTCCAAAAGGGGGGCGGGGTCACCTGAACAAAATAACAGGTGGAAATGAGGCAGAGAAGGGAGCTTCCAAAAGGTATTTCAATTGTTATTTAGTAATAGAAAGTATACAAATAAACAAATATTTAATATATATATATAAATATATATAGTATAAATAATATATATACATAAATATTTATAATTATTATTTATTTATTAGGTCTTCTTTAATGTGATAAAAGTTAAAATGGAATAAATTTAAGATAGGCTTTTAAGAATAATAAAATTCTCATGTAAATATATATTTATTATGAAATATTTGATTCTTACTTTGTTATGAAATATAAATTATTTATACTTTATAGAAATCTATTAAATTAACAATTAGTTAAGAGCTTAAATAAATAGCTATTTTTAGACAAAGCTAAAGTCTGAATTAAGTTGATTTAAAATGTTTACTATGTATGTAATTCATTGATATAAAAATTAAATTGATTTAATTTGATTTAAAATGCATAGTTTTATTTGTATAATAAAGTAAAATAAAAATATTATTGGTGAAAGAATTTAAGAAGAATATTGAAGATATATTACTTTATATTATATATACTTCATATATATTACTTTTAATTATTTTATATATATATTATTTTATAACTTATCACAAACACTACCCAGACATTTAGTAAATATTATCAAATCAGTGAAAAATATACTCTTTCTTGTAGCTCATTTCTCACACTTTGTTGTCAGTAAAAAAGACCAAGTTAACTTTACTTAAGTTAACTTTAGTTAACAACCTTAAATCATTACCAAGTTACTTGCAGCTTTTAGCAAGAAACTGTTAATTGAATGGAAGGGGAAAGTCTCTTTACCCCTTCTTTAAATAAAGTCACCTGACAAAGGAATCCGAGTCATAAAAGAAAAACCAAGATCTTTAGACAGGTTTTGCACTTGTTATGAAAAAGTTAAAAACTATAACTTTTTCTTGGTAAGTTTTAATGATTGTGTTTTAATGAGTGATGAGGTCTTACCAACAAAAATTAAATAATCAACTTTTGGCGGCCCAAAAGGTGGCAAAAGTTTCTTGAACTTTAATGCTTAAAATTCAAAACATAAACACAGAGAGAGAAGGCACAAAAAAAAACGCAGACAATGGCTAACAGACAGTGAGCCAAGTTAATGTTTGCCATTAACTCTTCGAGTTTGTTTTATTTTCAACGTTTTTCTTTTGGTTTTCCTTTTGCTTTTCCTTGTACCTTTCTTTTGTTGCAATTTATGTCTCATATTTGCCACGCCAAT